AAAAAAAAAAAAAAAAGAATTCAACATCGATGCAATAAATTCTACGATAATATTATCGTTTTTATTAACTTTATATTAATAAATAATTTAATACTAAAATTATTATAATGAAGTTATTGTATCAGTAATTATATAACTTATCACTTATAATCGTTTTTATAGATAATCAAAAAATTTTATCAAATATTCGTGTAAAATATTGAAATTAAATCTGTCATCGATTTTGAAGTAATTAAGTATTAATCAAATGCATTTTTAAATTGCCATAGTTTTTTTTCCTTTTAAATTTTTTATTTATCAATTTTTGTATTAAAAAATTTTTCCAATGTCTTAACTTATTTAGAATGTAGAGAATAATTTCGAAATGATAGATAATGAAGTGTTTTCTTTTTTTTTTCTTTGATAATTTATTCATTGTAATCATCAATTTGTTATGTTTTTAAAAAAGTGATTACTTGAATATTTAATTTGATAATTTAAAAAATTCGGAAACAGATTTTTTATGCCTTTTATTTTTATGCTTAGATTTTTATGTTGTAATTATATATAGATTTTAATAAGGGAAATATTCGAAATGTTCGAAATTTAAAAATTTAATAATATTTAATTAAAATGTAAAATAAACCAATTAATTATAAAAATTAATATATTCAAAGGTCTTTTACTTTTCTTCTTTCCATTTTGTCATTGTAATAACTGTCAATTACAGTATGGAGATGGTTATGGGCCACCGCCCACGGCATCAGATGTTTATACCGGAACAGGTACTGATCCCGCAGCTGCTTCATTAGGTTATTTTGGTATGGGAGCATATCCACCGGTTGCTACCGCACCACCAACAATGCTTGCTGATCCGCTCAATGAACGAATGAAACGGGATAAGGAAGCAATTTATAAGTATATTTAAATATTTTTATTATTTATATTAATTTAATATTTTTCACAGTTCTGTTTCTTTTTTTTTCCTTTCTAATCATATTTAAGAAAAAAAAAGAACAAATTATTTTAAAAGTTTTTCTACAAAATAAGTTATTAATTAGAGTAATTTTGATAAATTATAGTATAATAGTATGTAAAAATTCAGAACAAAAAAAAAAAAGAAAAAAAATTGCAAATAATTTTAGCAAAAAAAAAAAAAAATAAAACAAAAAACAAGGGAAAGAAGAATATGATAAGAAAATACATTGATAAATAAGTAACGATAAGAAAAGCATTGATAGGTAGTGACTGATAAGAAATAATATTATAAATGATAATTTTAATGATAAAACATTTTAATAAAATAACTATAAGTTATGTTAGGATGAAATATTATCCTTTTATTTTATGCTTTCAAATAAATTTTTCCTCATTGAATACAATAGTTTAATTTAATTCTCTTCAATTTCTCTTTGGAAATAGAAATGAAAAAAAAAGGGTGACAAAAAATGTAATAAAATTTGTGATATACAAATATACATATGTATAAAGTATATATGGGAAAAAGGGATATGAAAGATACAGTATGATCGTTGTTTTTGTGAAATATTTAACCAATGATAAAAGGACCATCTGTTTAAAGCAATAATAAAATATGTCATGTTATTGCTAATATACATATATATATATATATATTTGTATATAAAATATTTATCGGATGGGAAAAGAAAGAGAATTTGAGAAATCAGATGATATTAATACCGTCTTCGTTTAGTTTTCTTTCTTTTTTCTTTTTTTTTTTTAATTACTAACTTTATTATTAGTGATAATGTTTGTGATGATACGGTAAAGAGAAAATATAGTAAAAATTAAAAAAATTACAAAAATAAAAGAAGAAAAAAAGCGCAAACATATATATATATATATGAGTAAAATTTGAAATTTAAAAAAAAAAGAAATATTATAAAGTGAAAAAAAGAATTAAGAAAAAAAAAGGAAACAAATTTTTCTAAAATTTAATTTAACATTATTATCGATAAAAAGGAAAAAAGAAACGAAGAAAACTAATTCGTTATTACTTTATACTTTAGCATAGTTTAATAAAGTTTTACTATCAAAATTGAAATTTGAATTTCAGTTTTTTCTTTCTAGTTGTTCGTTATTTGAAAATTTTATAAAAAATTGATTTTATTTAATTTTCTTTTCTTTTGTATTTTTTGCAGTCATCCATTATTTCCGTTATTATCGTGCCTTTTCGAGAAATGCGAGTTAGCAACGTGTACACCGCGTGAACAAAACAGTACGGCAACGTCAAGTTCAACGTCAACATCCTCAACAAATGACGTTTGCTCATCGGCTTCATTTAAAGATGACCTTGCCGATTTTGCCAAAATGGTTAGTTGCGCTATGATAACCTTGAACTAATTGATATAAGTCTTCATCTTCTTGTTCCTTTCTTTTTTTTTTTTTTTTTTTTTTTACAATTTTGTTATATCCAGTCAAACTTCTGATTAAATAATTTAGTTTTTATCAGTTTACATCTCTCTCTCTCTCTCTCTTTTTCTTCCCCCCTTTTTTTCCTCTCCTCTCTCACCCTTACTTTCCATTTAGGGAGAAGGGAAGAAAAAAATTTGATTTAAACTTTTATCGTATTTATATTTGATTACTAATATTTGCTACAGTATCTTAGAGATTTAATTTACTTTTTTATGCTAATGATTGTAATTTTTCCTTTTTTTTGAAATTTCATTCAACACTCTGTTTCACATTTAATTATTTTATTGTTTTCTTTAGGTGCAAAGTGAAAAGCCATATTATGTCCCAAATCCTGAAGTTGACACATTGGTATGTTTTATTTCATATTTAAATGATAATTAATTAGCATTGATAAAATTAAAAACAAATAATTTTTTTAGAAAAAATTCCAAAGTGAATGGTAAATAACTGAAATTTATGTGTTAAGCAATAATTGAAATTTTAAATGTCCTACTATAATTAATATTTTTCAAAAAAAAAAAAATTTAAAAAATCAGTTTTTTTTCAAATCAAATATTTTTATTTATAGATGTTGCAATCCATACAAGTCCTTCGTTTCCATTTATTAGAATTGGAAAAGGTTAATTTTATATATATATATTTTTTGTTTTAAAAAAATTTTAAATTTGTTTTTTATTTCCTTCTTTTTTTCCTCATTTCTTCCCTTTTTCTCCAACTATTTTACTTAATATATTAACTTAAAAGATATTTAAAATAATTGAATTTGTTGAATTCGAGAAATTATGTGTGGTATTTTTAATTTATATGAAATATTTAATTTTTGTATCCAAATTTTTTTTTTTATAATTTTTGATGATTTACGATAAAATTATTGTCTTTGTGTCGCCTATCTCTCTCTCTCTCTCTCTCTCTTTCTCTTATCCTTTCTCTTTTCTTTTTATTAGATCAT